GCTCCTCCTGGCCGCGCAGCTGGCAGGTGAGGCGGGCGGGACCGGGTGGTCCGCGCTAGACCCCGGTGAGCGCCGAGCTTAGGCATGGCTGGCCCGGCAGCACGCAGAGCCCAGACCCCCGGGAGGCGGCTTGGAGGGCACAGGCCCTGAGGGTGGGATCAGGAGAACCCTGGGACTGAGGCCACCTCTCCCCAAAAACCTGGTCCTAGGAGAAAGGGACGCAGGAGACAAAGAGGGAGGAAGAACGGAAGAAAAGAAAGAGGGGGCGGAGGTCCAGAAGAAAGAAAGATGTCCTTGTCCAAGATCCCCACAGGGATGTGCCCCTAGAAAGGTGACACCTTGGCCCCGGCCCAGGGTCCTGTAGACATATTGTCATTACTTCCGGGAAGTGTTTATAGTACAATCCGACAAACGCCCCGCTATTGCCAGCTCTCAGACAGCTATGGCAGGGCACTCCCGGGGTCCTCTGACTCGGCGGTGGTGTTGCCTGGTGTGGGGTGCCCTGTGTAGGGTGGCTCCAGCGGGGAGCAGTGCTGGAATCGGGATGCTGGAGGTGGAACGTAGGCAGGGTTCTAGGTGTCCCTCTGACTAAGCCCAGCCAGGCTGCCTTTTGGAAGAAGCCCCCACATACCCCACACTGCAAACTAACCTGTGGTTGATTTGCTTCATGCCCAGCAAGCCCAAAGCTGGTCCTCCTGCCAGAGGATGACAAGGCCTGCTAGCCCCGGGTTCTGACCTGGTGAGCTCAACGACATCATAAATAGAAACGAGTCCAGGCCATTCAAAGCTGCTAAAGTTATTGCCGGTCGTTCTAGAAACATCCGGTCACTCTTAGAGAGCCAGATGAGACCCCATGTGTGGTGAGGCCTGGCTCTGCATCTGGCACACAGCAGGGGCTGGCCATGGCTGGGTGCCCAGAGGCTGAAAAGCAAGTGGGCACAAGAGAGACCAGGTTGTGTCTCAGCCAGGAGAGGGTCACTCATGCTCACAGCACAGGAGGAGCCACTCTGGGCTTTCTTGGAAGCGGTCTGGGAGTCCGTGTATTGGCCGGCCTCACTGTGTGCTCATGGGCACATAACCAAGACCCAGGAGAGGGTCACAGGTTGCCTCAATTCACTGGCTCGAAGCTCAAGTTCTGGGGTCCCACAACCTGAGTTTGAATCTGGATCCACTACATACAGGCTGTGTGACCTTGAGCACGTCTTTAACCTTCCCGAGCCTCTGTTTCATCCTGTGTGAAATGGGTGTAAAAGAGCATCTCCCCCACAGGATCTGGTGAGGATTAAATGAGATGATGTGCACACCATACCTGGCACAGTTCAATAAATAATGGCATTATTGGTTCTTATGAACAGCCCCAAGAGGTCAGTGAGCCAAAACAGTGAAGAACCTCTGCTCGGCTGAAAAGGTGGTGTGGTGTTTGGGGAGAAAAGAGCAGGCCTGGCAGCCACTTGGGCCCCAGGCACTGCTTCATTCTCGATGCAAGCGGAATCTCGAAGTGATCTGGGAGTGCAGTCCATTTCATCAGTGTTAGAGAGGACCGCTGTGGGGCCAGGGAGCCTGTGCTGCAAGTACAGGCCGCATTGTGAGCATGGGCCGCTAACTCAGTAAGCGGGCTCCTCTTGGGTACGTGGGCACACACACACCCTCTGGCCTCTGCCCACCCAGGTCTGTGTCCTTCCTGTGCTTTGCCACTCCTGGGTCTCTGCCCTGGTCTGCAGGGTCTCCCTCTGTTCCACAGCCAAAATGAAAGTCTCACCAGGTCAGATTGTGTTTGTTGGAGTCCCTGTGACCTTGGCTGTGAATGGGACCCATTCTGATCCTTCTCCTTGAGATTTCATTTATAGCTAATAACAACCCTGAGATAGGAGACACATGGATGATATTTATCAGCATTCAGTGCTTTACAGTTTGCAGTGTGCGTTCTTGGACATCATTTCATTTCTTTCTAACTCTCGGAGGCAGGCAGGACAACAGCACCAAGCTGCCCTCCTTTCACAGGGAGGAGACAGAGGCTCGGTGACTTGCCTGAAGTGCCACAACGAGTACAGGGCAGAGGCTGAAGGCCAGGTCTGTGAGTCCTGCTCCAGTTCATGAACAAGCCCCTGCTTGCTGGCTGCTTCCTGTGTGAGACTAAAATGAACTCCCAGCCTTACTTCTGGGGTATCTGTCCTTCCACTGGGGAATGAGGACCCAGTGACTGATCAATTGCGGGGTTGGAGAGTGATGTGTTGGAATTGTGCTTACCAGGAGACAGTGAGATTTTTTTGCTATTTGTCATCACTGTCTGGAAATAGTGGCTGGTCCTCTTTTAGGTTGACCAGATCAGCCATGTGCTCTGCCTGTGATCCTGAGCTCCTGTCCAGCTTGCCTTGGCTTTCCTCCAGCTGCTTGGAGCCTATGGAAGGTCTACACATAGAGTGGCACCTGGCAAGGTGAAAGGGAACCTGCCTTGGCTTCAGACTTTGAACTCTTGAGTTTAAATTTCAGGCCACTTACCAGCTGCAAGTGGGACTTTGAACAAGTAACTTCATGCCTCAGTTTCCTCATCTGTGTAATGGGGATAAAAATCCCAAAGCCAGTTTGAGGCAGCTTGGTTGATATAATTTATGCAAAAGGCCAGACATGTAAGCATGCAATCAACAAATGGCAGCTGTCTCCCCTGTCCCTTTGTAAAGCTGGGCATAGCAAACACTCACCTTGCAGGTGATCTCCTGAGAGGTGGGGTATGTAAGCTCTGAGTCCAGAAGTCACCAGCTACATTTATCACAGTCCCTGGTCCCTGTAACTGGGCAAGTTTTCCTTTGACAGTTGACTCAGTGTGACTCTGAGGCCCCACAACTGTGGCTGAGAAAACATGCTGATGTGATGGTCTCTGCTTCTTTTGGCTTCTCGTAGCGCTCCACGGCAGCTTGGTCCTCCAGCAGACTCCTGGATTCATAATGGTTCAGACCAACCAAATGGTGATGCTGTCCTGTGAGGCTAAAACCTCCTTCACTAACACACGCATCTTCTGGCTAAGACAGCGCCAGGCTCCAAGCAAGTACAGTCACCACGAGTTCCTGGCCTCCTGGGACTCCACAAAAGGGACTGTGCGTAGCACGGAGGTGGAACAGGAGAAGCTGACTGTGTTGCGTGAGGGGACCCGGTTTGTTCTCAACCTCACAAGTGTGAAGCCTGTGGACAGTGGCATCTACTTCTGCATGACCGTCGGGACCCCTGAGCTGACTTTCGGGATGGGAACTAACCTGAGTGTGGGTAAGAATTAGCCTCATAAATGAGTATAAGAATTAGCTATAAATGAGCAGCGGGCATGTGCCAGGCACTGCCAGCTCTGAGCTCTCAGCCATGGCTAATAACACTGCCGCTAAGAGTAGCAGAAAATACATATGGAGACTTACCTACAAGAGTTTTACAAAATTATCTCAGCTAATGCTGCCAACCACCCTGGAAAGTAGGTATACAGGGGTACTTCAAAAAGTTCACGGAAAAATAAATAAAAAGATAATTTTAGTCTTTCCCTGAACTTTTTTTATTTGTTTTTTTTATGTTTTTTTCCATGAATTTTTTGAGGACCCTTCATATTATGATTCCCATTTTAGATGAGAATCAGATGAGTCTGAAAGAGATGGGTCAGAGCCAGAGATGGGCGTCATGCTTCTTATGGGGACAGGGCAGTGCTGTCCTTCAGGCCACATCAGGGACAACTGAGGCTGTGGCTGGATTGGGCTGAGTCCCAGGGCCTATGGTCTCGGAAATCCCCACAGAGTGTACACACAGGGAAAGAAGGCTCTGGATGTTCTGACATACCCAGGGTGAGCATTTCCAGGGCTAGTGAGGTGCAGGTGCCCTTATAATCTTCATAAGGGCTTTTGCTTGAACCCACACCCGGAGTTACTGAGAGCGAGGAGACGGGACCCCTGGCCCAGCTCTGCTACAAATGTGCCATGTGCCTTTGGACAGGACATTCTGCTCCCTGGACCTCAGTTTTCTCACCTGTATGATGGGACTGCTGATGT